GATCACGTCCACCGAGGCTCTGTCCTGGCACTAGGCCTGGGTAGTCCATGGTAGCTAGCGACAATACGGAGCCGGACACCCAGGCTATCGAAACTCCACGACTCAGGAACTCAGTACATGCGTACAGTGCCGATTCATAAATTCCGCAAAAAGCCAACATGTGCCGGCTTGTTGTATACGTCGCTAAGTACTGCCGCAAATTCACAATACCAGCTTTGCATTCCTGTGGTTTAGTATACATATAGCATTTTTATTTTTGACCGGAATTTTTTTTATTCGCCCGCTCGCACTAGTTTGGGGGTCTTCAGAGGATGTCATCCAGAAAATTATGTCGGTGTGGCCTTACCTGATTCAGGCTCGCCGATAGGGACACACACTGCCACTGGTCCACGGTTCGGCGCGGGTTTGGTTGTCGGGCCGAACCAGTTGGATCCGGAACCTCCCACGGGCTTGTACTCCGGCTTCACACTCGGCCTGATAGTGTGGGAGACCGGCGGCGGGATGTAACCACAGGTCGTCGGCTTGTTGTATGTTGGACGGGACGGTCTCGGCGGAAAGCGGCTACTCCCACCAAGCGTGCCGCCAGTTGCACCGTAACCGTGGTAGCTACTCCCGCCAACCGTTGTACCGTAACGGCGGTAGTAGTAAGTGTATCGGCTGGAAACCGAGGAAGACCCGTTCATGTACGACATCTTGGCAGGTTGTGTCTCGGCTGTTGGCGCTCAAACACGTCTAGTCCAATATGCACGTAACACCTTTTAAGCGCACCGTAGCTCCGCCCCCGGCGCCTGTCCTTATAATTAGTTTTTGTTAGGCCACAGCAAGTAATTTTTATGGATGACGTCAGCTCGCGCATTAATTTTCAGCCGATTTTGAAAAAAAATTGTTGCCTTCTGACAGTGGCCAACATGCCGACGATGGGCAAAGATGTCTGTTGCCATGCTGGAAGGTGGATGAAAGATAACTATGAAGAGAGGAGGCAAGACAAGGCTCTGATTTAATGTTTTGTTTCTTACTTTGATGCAGTGATATGTGATGCTGGCTGTGTATATGTGATGTTCCCACTGAATTAAAACCATTTGTACAATGATTGAGTCAAAATTTTAGAATGTAGGAACCTTGTTTTTTTCGACCCGCCTTGTTTTTCTTCGCCCGCTCGCGTTAGATTTGGAGTCTGCGGAGGATTTCTTCCATAAAATTTACTTGTTGTGGCCTTACAATAGATCACACCCGTACCACTCTCGTACTGGAGATACTCAAAGTCAACGGACATTACTAGTATCTCTACCATCTAAGGTAATGCCTGAGGCGACACATCTCGTTGGACTTGATTCTGCGTCAGTGTGATGTCTGTATAATGTGGGTATGCAAGGGGTTTGGTGCGTAGATGGGGGTGGGGGCAGTAAGGGACTGGGGGGTGATGAAAGACACATATAGGAAAGTCCAGAGCCAAGCAAGGTATATTCAAAGACTACAAGGAGAGCTTTGATGGGCCGCCAAATTGTCTCTGATGGCTCTGACGAAAATTTTGGGTGTGGAGGGTCAAAGGGGGCAGGGGATGGGCTGCCAGTTCTTCGAAAGAATTAGCGCCAAATTGCAATTGGTTTCGGAGAATGGGGGTCGAGTCAAAAAGGAGATCCCAAACCGCCGCCAAAATTCTCTTGTGGCTCTGACGAAAATTCTGCGGGTAGAGATTTGTTTGCCAAATTTGTTGGGGATCGTGGAGACAGATATCTGGATTCCAATCCGGGGTTCGACCATCAAGGAACCTTTGTCTTTTTGAACGTTGTGACCGTGCACTTCTGGGAGTGGAGAGTCAAAGGTGGGGACTGGGGGGATGGGCTGCCAGTGTTTCGGGAGAATTAGCGCCAAATTGGTTTCGGAGAATGGGGATGGTGGAGACAGTAAGAGGTGTGGAGAGGGATATCGGGATTCCAATCTGGGGATCGATCATCAAGGAACCTTTGTTTTCTTGAACTTTGTGACCCTGCACGTAAACGCGCCCTAGGCCTACGTGCAGCTATGGACAAGATTTGTTTTGGACTAAGAATTTAGGTAGATCTTTCGAATCGTCTTCATCGAATCGCGGACTTTTTTTTCTATTTGGCCAATTCTTACTCTTTCTTGGTAGCCTGGTTGAGGCTAAGACTTGTGGACAATGTTCACAGCTGTGTGGCCCAAGGGCTACAGGGAGATACTAAAGGCGCAGGGAGAAACGTTGACAGCTGAGAGAAGAATGTAATGATTTCAATGACTCATCACAGCGGGTGAGGTGGAATTCGTGGAAGACAGGATGTGATTCGATGACGACATCTTTCAAACCGCGACGAGTGCGTTAGCTCCGCCCCTCTGCCTATCCTTGTGTTCTCTAACCAATGGATGACACCCACAGCTGATCCTCACGTGGGCGTAGCCATGGCAACATCACTGCAACGTCACTGCCATTACCCCTCCCAGCTGATGAATGCAAAGGCCAGGCCGACCCGTCGAACAACTATCTCCGGCCTTGGCCGACAAAGAGTGGCAAATCAGTCATCAGTTAACTTTGTGTACGCGTCATGCAGATCTGACAAGGACGAAATAGACGCAAATAACTATAGGAGCTAACAAACGCCACATGATAGCGGAGAAGTCATAATAAATCGTGGGCTTAAAAAAATGACACCATAAGCTTTGAAAATTTTTCTGGAATGCATAGCTGTCGTTTTAGCTTTGTTTTGTATTCTTCTAGAGGACAATGATCTGATAAACCTTTTGATATAGTTTCGTACGCGCGCGCCAGTTCGGTGATCTTCTACACTCAGGTATTATTTTCCCTGTTTACCCATGACCTGTACTTAGCTCGTTAGAGCACAAGCGTACAATAAAGGTCTTTCATTCATTATTTCTGCTATAATTAACAAACTTTCCTTGCACCCTCCCCTTAGTATAGCGTCAGATATAGCTTTATAGGGCTGTTCTAGGCTTTATTCAGGCAACCTTTCATCTTGTATGTTCATTGTGAAAGATGATTTGAACCCCCAGGGCCTAAAACAAGACGCAAGTTTACTATTTTGGGGGATAAGATGTTGCCATAATATTGCTATATACGTTATACGAAACGCACGTTTACAAAGTTCCTTATTGTTGACGCTGTGAAGGTGGAAGATTACCCCTCTATACCGTATCTATACGTCGGGTTGTGAGTAAAGGACTTTGTTATTCTAAGCTTATGTCTGTATTTTCTCGAGCTTGTGTTGTGATCATTCGTACTATCTAGGAAACTGATAAGTAGATTTTTTTCTATGATGGGTTTCAATAACAGAGTCATCCAGAAAAAATGAACACAGGATAATTTTATTTATTGGAAACGTTTTTATGACAAGAAGTGCTTCTGAAGTCTTTATATCTTAACTTTCATTGGGTTTCTATTCGAATCAATTAAAACCTGTCGCCGCAACATCATTCTTAACAATTAACAGTAATGCTTCAAGCAATATATATATATATATATAGACTTTATTACTTTGCTGGAGAATTAAGTCTACTACAAAGGCACATCAGCTTGTTTCTGGTACAAAAGATAGCTATAATTCTACAATAGATGTATTCCTATTGGAAATTGGAATTAATGGTTATTATGGTATTTCCATTTTCCATTTCTATTTTAAGTATAAAATCTACCAAGGCCTGTCTATTACAAAAGCTCTGTTTTTCTAGTCCCCTTTCCTTTTTGCGTATTTAGCCTATTGAAATATTGATAGTGAAATAGTTCCTACAGAAGTTTTGAGCAGAAACGTTGATCATCATATGCCTCAAACGTCGCCAAATCTCGCGTGTTTTTGTCTCGCGAGATTGATCAGCTGACCGTGACGTCGAGCTCGCCGGTGACCTGTGTGAGCTTGTTGGAAGTGAAGGACGCCATGATGGTTTTCTTTCCCGGCTTCCTCGGCGTCATCCTCTCCATCACACGCACTGTCTCTCCCGGTTTGATGGGTCTGCAAAGTTAATACATAATAACAATGATTTAATTAAAAAGATAAGATTTTGAGCCTCTGAACAAGATTGAAGAAGAAGAAGACTGATACGCTAACTAACTTGGAACAATTCAGAAGACACCAGAATATCAACAATTTTGTCATCTAAAGTCTTGGAGCATGAAAAAATACGTATCAGTAAGTGCATAACAAGCATGGATCACGACACGACCACGTTATCTGGAATCATTTTTCTAACCTAAGATAACTCTACAAATGTGTATACTTTGCAGCCAAACTCCAAACATTGACAAAAGCCCAATAGTAAATAACGTACGTGTGAGAGATTTTCTTTGGTTTCTGCAGCCCAGGGCCCTCGATATGAAACTCCACCATGGACAGGGTGACGTCCAGAGGATTGGTGAACTCGATCTCTGCTGTCACCTGTTCGCCTACGGTCATCTTAGCTGGAGCCTGCCAGGAAAACATAAAGATAGTCATGATGCTGCATGGCGAGCAGATACAGCTCTATACATACAGTGGAACAGTTAGACAATGGACAATATACAAGCACCATGAAATGCATTAAACCAGTAAACTAATGTAAAGAAGGGCAGAAAAGCACATTTGCCTTATCATGAAAGTTCATCTGTGTTGGTAGTAATCATAGAAAAATGTTGAACTTTATTCCAACAGACAGCTTAAACAGAGATCAAATTTTCAGCGACCACTGTCGCCTTCATCAGGATAATTAATGACCAATCACTTAAAAACGTAATCTCGCGAGAGTTACGGTTACACACATGTGACCTTATTCACACGAGACTTTCTTATAATTTTTATCTTTTGCCTGAGAAACAAATCAGAGTCATTGTCACTGTCTAGCATCTCATACGAAAAGTAAGATCTGAAGTTAAATGTCTAATCGACTAGTTATGCTTTCTAAGAGGTACCTAAGTTGCAGCCAGTCTTCTACACTGCCCAACAACTGGTCCGAAACAAGTATGGACAACCTACCCTAACAGTAAGTTCCGGACTCATAAGCCGGAAGTCATCCTGTCCGGAGTAGACCTGGCCAGTGTTGTCCACGTGAGCCATGGCGTGGACCTTCACGATTGCCTGGTCAACCAGCTGGTCCAGATACTCGCTGGGCGTGTAGGTCATCTCCACGGTTTCCTCTGGAGGATTAAACAGGTAGGTATTTTGAATTTGGAAAGACATTAGCGATATTTAGTCAACGTTATGATGATAAAGAACAAGTACAAGTCAAATGAAAGACTTTGCTTTTCTTGGTATCATTGTATACGTCGATGAAGGTTAGACATCCAGGTAATATACAAGCAGAAGAAGTAGACAGCATGTTTTCAGTGTGAGGGTAGACAACATGTTTTCAGTGTGAGGGTCATCAAAGACTGGAACTCGCTGCCGTCGGGTGTAGTATCCAGTGATTCTGTCAACCAGTTCAAAACAAGATTGGATCGACACTGGGAGCACCTGAAGTATGAAGAAAGCGTCTAGACCAGTCCACGACAGGCAGGAAGAAGCCTTACTCGACTGAAGACGGTATCAAGTATCAAGGTATCAATAAGATACGCCATAAAACAGTTACTCAAGCAACTGGATATGATTTTGGAAACGGTCAGACGTTTCATGTAGCATTCACTACCCTTCGTCAGTGACACTAAGAGTATCATTGTATGTTTATGTATTCATTCGGTTTGACGTATTTCATTAGGTTTTGCAAAATTGCAAGCGACAAACCTCCATTAGGCGGAATGGTGACATCTTTTTCCAAGTCTCCAATGTCGTGAGCAGGCACACCGGTGTAGTACATGGCCCTGGCAGTCAGGTGGGCGGTGACGTGGCGAGGTTCAGAACTGGTGTTGTTCATGGTAAGGGTGACGTGGATGTTCTCGCCTATGAAGACCTGTGGATGGAGAAGATGATAAGAAAGGCAAGTATAAGCAAGTTTAGCAATACAAGAAGTGCAGAGAGTTTACCTCTTAAGTAAGTACAGCAGAAATGTATATTCCATCATCTAAAACAATGAAATTAGAAAGGCCGGTAACATTTGCAAAGCAAATTCATAATGTTTACCTTCGCATATGGTCTGCTCTGTTAATTCTTACATGATGTAAGCCAACACTAGTTACCATGGTGACAGACGTCTGGTTCAGGTAATTGACCTTATTTGTTTGGAGATGAAGAAGAAGAGGAGGAAGAAGAGGAAACAGAGCAAAAACAATATGTCTTCCTTCGGTAAACATAACAAAAAATATATAAACAAATAACAAATTGCACATCTGGCAACATAGGTTCCTTTTTGACAAATATACTTACCTCATCGTCGGCGTGAATGTCGAATTCCACGTCCTCGTTTTCAATGACGTCGTCGTACGTGTTCGGCTTCAGTCCGTGTGAAACTGCAGTGCGGACTGCCACACGCTCCTGGTCAGAACCTGCAGGGGGATGCAGCAGAGGTAAGCAACATGGAATCTGCCTGTGATGTTTGACTCCATGGCGGACTCCACGAAAGCAAGAAACCGAAGATTTTAATAATCCTCCATCAAGTAGTTAAAGTTGAGAACTAACATTAACTTCCGTGAATAGTTTCATCAGGTTGGTAAGACACTGAGTAAAGAGACTCTTGGTACACAACCAAGTCTTTTATTATTCCGTCGACGTTTCGGTGACCGTCTGTCCCCTTCCTCAGGGCAATTCTGACTGGTTCACATTCTGACTGGACACCTGTGCTGCGATGCAATGTAAACCAGTCAGAATTGCCCTGAGGAAGGTGACAGCTGCAGACAGTCACGGAAACGACGGCTGAATAAAAGACTTGGTTGTGTAAAAATAGTCTGTTTACTCACTATTAAACACTCACTTCCTTCAAGCTTGCGGGGATACTACAAACAGTATTTTGACCTCCAATTTGACCTTCCTGTTTGTGGTTACACCATTTCGATACGTTTGATATTGGGGGGGGGGGCTTTGAGCCAGTCGAAAGCCACTACGACACTGTCACCAAAAATCTTCGAGATGAGGTGCATACACACTTAGAAGAACGCCGAAAAACTACACTGTACTGGCCTAGTGGTTAGTAATATAATGGCTCAATGATGACTTGACAATGACCTTCAGTATATTTGTAGTTTTCCGTGAGGTCTTCCCTGGCGTTGGAGCCGACAGCCTTGGTGCTCATCTTGGCACCGATCGCGTTTTTGGCGACCCTCAGCTTCCGCAGGTTCTTACGCCTGTCCACCTGGAGTTATAATGTGTATAACTTCATTTTTGCAAAATCATGTCCGAAGGGTAATTGCTTTTACAATCAAGGATACTACTCAGAGCAATACAATAATAGAAGACCGACAACAACTGTCTGGAAAAACTTATACTTCTACTACTACGCTAGCTATTATGGGGTTCGACTTCTTCTTTGAAGGCAGTGGATAATGAATAGTGCCATATTCTGGATAATGTGTGAGTTTTGTGATCTTAATAGAAACGTAGTCTTTTGGTGATCTTCTAAATAATGAAAGGATGATAAAATTGTTGTAACTGTCTGAAATAATCTGTTTCTGTCGGTCTCATATTGAGGACTGGCTAACAAAATGTGTTTCATTTTCCACTGCATTCATTGGGCAATATTTACATAATCTCTCGTGAATAGGTAGTAAACATGTATGTGTGAACACGGTTATCTTGTCGTTTAGATATTTGTAATGCTCCACCAGGTCTGTGATTTACTATAATTTGATGCTGGTTATCTTTGAAATGCACCAGAAACAAATGGTAAGTGTAGCTTGGAATACGTAAGAGAACACTCATCTTGGGAAGGATATGAAAAGTTTATAACGCTATATGAAGATAATATGAACAGTGTATAACCTCGTAGATAACTATCTATATGTTTTAAGTTTAGATAGCTATAGTTAAAGGCATGTTTTCTTAAAATTTCAATGGCATATCCGTTTTGGAGTAAATAAGTAAGAGAATCCGAGTGTGAATGTTACTGTCGTACCAGCCAGTAGACCTTGTCGGCGTTCACTTCGGCGAAGACGAACTTGGTGTCGTACGGCAAGTAGACGTGCCCGTTTTTCACTGCAGAGATGGGGCAGGGTCCGCAGCAGTACACGCCTGAAAATACCAGAATCATTTTAACATAATTTTCAACAATAAAAACACGCAACAGTCATAAAAGATACAGTCCGTTAATAAGTTGCCGAGTTTTGGTCAGTGAGCTTTTGTGTATCTGAATCTGTATAGCCGACATAACTACCATGCTGCGTAACACACCAGCTGTACTGTTCGTCAAACCATCACTTGGAAAAAAACTGTGTGTGTAGGGCTGTAGGCTCACCATCGCTAGTTTCCTGTGGAGTAGCGTCTACTGCCTGCCAGCCTCCATACCCCTCCGGTAGGTCGGGCCGGGCCATCCACGCCTCGTTCCACACGTGGAAGTTCCTACGTTTGACAAAAATAACGTTACATCTCAATGATGTTGATGATGACATCTTAATTGTTTGGTCTCGCACGCGCGACCATATACACAGGACCACAGTTATGTATCAAATTATCATCGTCATCATCTGGTAAAGTTTTTTTTTTAGCAAAATGCGCCTACCAGACAGAGTCGCCTCCGTCGATGTTTCTCAGGTTCTCGTCCATGTAGTTATCTATGGTCATGCTGACGTCAGTGTCATGCGCAGAGTCAAAGTTGGTGACGCTGCGGGCAGGAATCCCGAGACATCGGAGGACTGAGGAGTAAGGATAAAAAGAAAATAATGAAAGTTCATCTGTGTTGGTAGTAATCATAGTAAAACGTTGAACTTTATTCCAACACAGAATTATACAGAGAGATAAATTATCAGCGACCACAATTGCTCACGTCACGTATCAGTAACGTCTCGGGTGAATAAGGTCACGTGTTTGTAACCAACTCTCGCGAGATCACGTTGTGAAGTGATTGGTCATTTATTATATATCCTGAAGGCGACAGTGGTCGCTGAAAATTTATCTGTCTGTAAATTGTGTGTTGGAATAAAGTTCAACGTTTTACTGAGAAGAAGAACAGTGTGATGTACTTGTTTCGTTAGAGACACGTTAGTTTTCATGATTCAAACCTCTAGCTGCTTCACTTCTTGATTGCCGTAATCGTATGGATGGGAAGCAGTTGCTATGTTTTTTACTTCTTGAACTTTATAACATTCGCAGAATTAATGGTGAAATGGTAAAATGGAATTCTGCCAAAGGATAGGACTTTCACACATGATATATGTAATTTAAGTAGAGAACACCATTAATTGAAATAAATATTGTGCTAGGTATACCCTTATTTTCATAATGAAGGAGACAAAATATAGAACAACAAACGTTACAAATACTTCACGAAGGTATAAAATCTCTGAGCTCTTGTTTGCACATGTCCTACCTGTTGTCATGACGCCGGAGAAGACCCAGCACTGCCCGTAGCACACGGGGCGGTTCCGCTCATAGTACTGGCGCAGGATCTCTACACTGCCGTTCCAGGCAGTGGGCGACCTCCCGCCGGCGTAGTTCCCGGACCAGTTTCCGGTCAACACACCTCCATCATCAGAGGAGTTCACCTAGACAAAAGCATAGTTATTTACTCAATTAATGCAATTAACGATCAAAGTATTTGGTGTGTTCATAACTGTACTTTATCTACATCCATTTTGTCCATAAGCATATAGAAAATGAATTTCACTTTGTTATGGAATGTACCAAATACTAGTATTGTGTTTACGTAACAAGCTATTTACATTTTTCGAATTCAATAGTCTCGATGTTGGAAACAGATTTGACTATATCTTTACATGTAATGGTTCCCACAACGCAGGGTTAGATATATATAGAGGACTGCTTTGTTATAAGAAAAAAATACCGAAACTTGTGATTAGCCCACTCGATTGAAACACTTTTATTTTTATCAATGACTTGTGCTAGCCCTTATTTTTTGTGTAATTAAAATATGTTAGGTTTTATTCGACATTAGGTCTTATTCAACACATTTATTTCATTGTTGTTACTCTCTTTATGTAGTTTGCCATACATTTTACCATATGCAATTGTCGTGCAATAAAGTTCTTCTATCTAGAACTATTCTCAGAGGCACGTTTCTAGATAGTCCACGAGTATCCAGAACCGTGCCTGGCGCAAATCTACGCTCTTGGATACGCGAAAACTATCCTAAACCGTGCCTGATCCTAACACTAACCTATTCAGGCAAAGGACTAGATAGGCATACATCGATGAAGGTAAGAGATCTAGGTAATAAGTTACGCCCAAAAGCAGTTACTCAAGCAACTCCTCTGGTCTCTCAGTCACTGACGAAAGCTAGTGGATACTAGCTGAAACGTCTGACCGCTTCCAAAATCATATCCAGTTGCTTGATTAACTGCTTTTTGGCGTAGATAGGCATAGTTATGGAACCTGGCATACAAAAAACCTCTTATAAGAAGGAATATGGTCTCACCATCTTCGAGACGATTCTGCTGACTTGAACAGGGTCTCCTCGCGACTCGGCTTTCATCTTTGACCTGTCCAGCAGCCGCAGGCACACATCCAGAATCTTGGGCTCAAACTGATGAAGAACGGAAGAAGAAAATGTGTCGTATATTTACTAGTCTGTATTAGAACGAAAATGGCAGAGTAAATGCACTAGCATCAGGAGAAAAAGAGAGCTGACCGTGACCGGACCCTAACCAAGGGCTTCTACAGAACTTGTCAGGAAAGGTACATCGTGTATATGAGCATGGAGTTAACAGATCGTGACAAGTGGACTATTTGTGGCTACGTTATACAAGCTGTGTGCCTCTCTACTAGCAGAGGAGGGGTGTAGAAATGGATTTTGTGCTCGAAGGCCCAAATAGAAACGAGACACACTAGTAGTATCGGGGCACCCTTGCTTGTTAGAGGGGGTCTTGTTAGTCTGTACCACAAGGAATTTGAAGTGACACATGACATGCGCTCACTTCCTTGGTTGATCGTGGTTGTAGGATGCATGTTCCTCAAACAAATAAGGCTGCTCAAGCAAGGATTTGAACAAATATATTTAGCCTCCTAGTTATTTTAAGCATGGGGGTACAAAAATTACTTCCTCCGTGGTATGAGGTAAATAAGCCTGAGATGTCAAAGTTCTAACCGACCTGTCCGAAGTTCCATGGACGCTGGCCGATCCGTCTGCTGGTACCGTAGTACTGGTAGCCATGCTCGTTCAGAACGTACTCGTCTAGCTGGGCTTCATCGTCAATGTACGTCATATCCTCTGCAAAATACGGAAGACTCATGAAACAATCACGTTTGAACTACAAAAAGGTAAGATGGCATTGCATCTAATATGTTGAGTGTGACCAGATATCATCAATGATATTGCAAGAGCATTTTATACACGTCAGCAATAAGGACAAATTCACATTTCATACGCATTTAGATCATAAGACCATTTGTTGTATTTTCATCATTAAAAAAAGTGAGAAGCCGAATCCACATATTAAATCATGGTAGTAACAGTATTGTTTGCATGTATATTATTTATCTATCTCTCCTTATAATTCTGGCTCTTTGTATCTTCGTCGGTGAAGGTTAGACGTCCAAGTAATGAGATAGACAAGAGTTACTCAAGACTCAAGCTATCCAGTTGTTTGAGTTAGTGTTTTCTTGTGAATAAATAAAATTCATTATGTTTACCGAAGGAAAACATATTGTTTTTACTCAGTTTCTTCCTCTTCTTCTTCTCCAAACAGTGACCTATGGCCTGACCAATGACATGATTTGTTGACGTCTGTCACCATGGTGACTGGTGTTGGGTTACATAATGTTGCAATTTTATCGTCTGCTCTGCTCCTGTCACCATATACTAGTAGTACATGTATGTGAATGTGTTTGAGTAAGAAATATCAGAGCAGACCATTATGCATTTGCTTTGCAAATGTTACTTCTCTAGTTCATATTTTAGTTCCTTACCCTTGACCCATGGGTTGAAGAGAATGACCACGGTGTTGTCGTCCGTCTTCCTGCTGCGGAACGTCTTGCCGTCTGACGTCGTCTCGATGACCACGTGAAACTTGCCCACGATGGCGTCAGGGGGCGTGGTAATTTTCACCTGCCGAAGAAGACATTGTGTTGTTTTTTTGGCGACGTCTCAGGGAGGAGACTAATGGTACAGTATTGCGTGCAGTTTGCAAGAATTCTAGGAATGGTACAGGCATTTTGTCCACAGGAATGGAACGTCCACAGGCATGTCTCTGACCCACATCTATGCCCACAACCCTGGAACCCTTGGGAAGACCTCTCTGCCCCGGATGGCCCTATGTGACCGGGGTTCGTTCACTATACACTCAGGGGAGGAGTGCACAGTATCTGTCTAGACTTAACAGGTACCAACTCTTCCTCAAAATCATGAAATGCAAACAATAACCCTAACAGCAACCACCGTCGCCATGGCAATGTATGTTTTGCTATTGCCAGTCTTGTTTACCATTGAACTAATTTCGATGTGTTGTCCCAATGAATGACCGTCCTTTCCTATAAATCTGGAATTTGCAGAGCTTTTATCAGATCTATGTTAACCATTCCTCTTCGTAATGCGCTTACGTTTTATTAGAAAAAGATTTAGGAAACCATTGCAATGAAAAAAAAAAGCGAATCGCGAAAGTTACCTTTCCTGTCCCAACTACACAAACAAAACAAGAATAATGACGGAATTGTAAAAAAAAACCTTAGCATATCCCCCTTCCGAGCTCTCCAGGGCAGCGCTCCATTTTCCTTTCTCCAGGGACTTTCCAACCGGCATACGCTGCAGCGTGCCCTTGTTCGGTAGAGGGTTGTCCCCTAATAGAAAAAGAACATAAGAAAATATGAGGAGATGCGAAACGTAACAGTAGTACGGTACATCCTAGATAGACCCGCGAGATCTGTAAAGAAAGCTTCTGTAAAATAAACAAGACTGAAGCGCACAGATTTTTGTTATAATAAACATTTTTACACCAGGGCGTACCGACCTTCTCTCAAACTTAACGGGGGACGATATCGACTTTCGACCTACGTACTTTGACAGATTTGCTCACGTCACACGCGAAAACAAGACTGGCATTGAAAGCATACATTGCCATGGCGACGGTGGTTGTTGTTAGGGTCATTGTTTGCATGGCACTGCCATGATGTCATGATTTTGAGGAAGCGTTGGTACCTGTTAAGTCTAGACAGATGCAGTGTAGTTCAGTAGATCACTCCTACCCTCCCCTGAGTGTATAGTGAACCCAAGGGTTTCCAGGAATGTGGGCATAGATGTGTGTCAGCAAAATTCCAGAGCCGTGAGACATTCCTGAGGACATTCCATGCCTGTGGATAAAATTCCTGTACAATTCCTAGAATGCTTGCAAACTGCACATAATACCGTACCATTAGGCTCCCCCTGAGGCGTCGCCAAAAAACCTGAATGCAACTAGGAAGCTGTGGAAGACAGTGATTCGGGGGAAAATTTGTGTAATAATTTAGATTGGATAACTGTTCAAAGTTTCTTATACTCACCAAAGTGTAGTTCCACTTGCAGCGTGTCCTCTCCCTCGTCATACTTCTTCTCGAAATGCAGCTCCACAGAGAAGGGCTGTCCGCGCCGGACCACGTTATGTTCCTCAAACTCATCCGTGTGGTGCTCACGGCCGTTCTCCGCAGTCAGAAAGTCGATGTTGGTCAGTTTAAGAGGCCCATCTGGAATAAAGAGAGAACAGTCTAAGCCTTGTTTTCCGTGACACTCAGCTTTGGCCTGGTATATATGAAGCTAAGGCCATGTTGATTATAAGGATGACATCCGCGCGCGCATGAATTTTAAGCGGTTTCCAAAAAAAAGTTTTCAACCATACTGAAAATCGTACAAAAGAGTTGCAAAATGAGCCAGAAGTTGAAAAAAATTGAAAACGATACCAATGTCATAGGATGCCAAAGTCAAACGAAAAGGACGAAAATGTAAAGAAATGAATTTGAAGAGTAAATTATTCGCCATACCATACTCTGTGTCATTTGTTCAACCTTCATGACCACGTAGATTTCATAGGGAAATCACTTTTTTTTTTGCAAAACTTTTTTATTCGCACGCTCGCATCAGTTTTGGGGTTCCCAGAGGATGTCATCCATACAATCAAATCAACGTGGCCTAAGCTATGTGGGCTAGTGGTAGGTGGGGTGGAGGTATTCCATTGGATTCTGTAGCGTACAGAATTTCCCCTTATTGTCCTGCTGGCATTCCTGGCACAATATTTTTCAATAATTTCATGTCTTAATTAGATCATAGACACCCAATTTTTTTGCCCTGCAGTGGCATAGTTACTTCCGCATTACTGCGGTGTGATGCGTTGCACTAGAAACACCGCCAAATCGTACCTATACAGGGTGTTACTAGTATATAGATGGTACTTGTATGTGCAAAACAACAATTGTTGTGCAAGGGTTAAGCTTCAGTCACACATTCAGAACCTTTCGACGACTTTCCCCCCGACCGTTCCCCAACCGACATATCATGCCTTGACAATAAAAAAACAGGACAATCTAGCCGAAGATCACACCGACTGCACAGAACAAAAGCTTACAAATTGTCAAAATATTGCGTGTTCCTTACTCTAGCCAGGGTAGTTATAACTCTAGCGAAGTCTTTACCCCTCAATTGCGTCTGCAGCGATATCCCGTGCAGATAATATTGATAGATCAACATAGTACGTTCCCCTAAGGGCAGGCCTTAAATGGGTACCATACAATAGAAATAATTGGGTACCATACAATAGAAACACTTGTCTGTGTAGATTATTCAGGGTCGTTTGACATGACCGCGCAGGTCAAAACAAAAAGATAGCGCTATGGCGACCAAGGCAAGGTGGCTCATAAACAAAACGCCGCTGCAAGGCATGTATAAACAGCTACCTTATGACGCTTAGCAGGCTAGAAGACACTGTTTCTGACTCTATTGTACATATATAGCACGACTAGCCATGTAAAACAGTTTTCTATCGTGCCAGCAATTTCATGTCCACGGGCAAAGACTTAAATTACAGCGATAACATTGTCAGTATACAACCAGAGGTAACTGTAGACGAAGAAGAAAAAGACCCTGTCGTCTAAGGTTAAAAGTGGGCTCGCACACCTTGAATTAAGTAATCGTCAGTAATTAACCTCCAGTCGATGACATAATGACGCCCAGCGTCTGTGATAGCGGGAGTCGACCGGGAGGCAGCGGCGGAGCTTCCCCGACGCCTTGCCGTCGAACTCCCCGTGCCCATGTTGCCTGGCTCGGACGTGCCCCTTCCGGGTTTCGTCTGACTAAAAACACGCTCAACGTTGACGCAAGGGTACCGAAGTAACGGGTTCCTCACTGGCCACCCAGTGCCGAACTCGCGGGGAAGGTGGCGTCGGCACTCGGGGCCCTGTGCGGAAGGAAACTCCGCACAGGAATTCTAGTGCTGAACGGCTTTTTTTCCAGTGCTGAACTGGAATTCCAGAGCTGAATCTTGACTCTGCACTCGTTTTCAAGTGCTAAATTCCACCGCGCTTCAGCGAAGAAGCAAACACGTGAAGCCACGGAAGGTTAAAAACCGCCACCACCCTCCATATTGTCTTTGCCTTTGGCTTGTCACTATGAACACGCACGTCTCTCTGTGTTCACATCTAATATGACAACAATTGACGGTGTAATTGCCAATCAATCATCGACATGACAACGGTAGCAACAAACACGAAGGTTGGCCTCACTAGGGTGTGCGTGTATGGAAAGCTGTATAGGGTTAGATACCAGAGAATTCTTTCAGCAGTGACAAGTTTTTGAAGGATAAGAAGACTAACCTCCAAATTTTAAGTTCGAGACTAGGCTTCTGTTCCGTGAACAAGATGGACTGATAGCCATTGAAAATTTGGAGGTCAGTATCCTTAATACCCTTCAAAAACTTGTCACTGCTAAAAGAATTCTCTAGTAACCGTATCTATACGTGACAAATGAATCTCTTCAACGATATGTAGGGTTAGTTATCAAATAGGGCGCCTCTTTAATAATAATAGAGTTTATGGTGCGTGAAAAATTTCATTAGATTGGAAAATGATTGAAGCCAATTCTTTAATTCATAACCACTCGTTTAAGAGGACCACCAGCATGATAATAATGGCCCGAGAGTCGAGGCAATGACCCGAGTAACGTAAACACCACTTTCTTTTTAGTATGTTTGGACCATTTCTGGCCGTGACGCTTAGAGTGTCGTATTTCTTTTCTCAGTAAATTTAAGGGTTGTACCCATTGAACACACTCACGGGGGTGGAGCTACATTCTAAAATCTTCCTTTGTTATACCTCACGTGGATGTCACAAGAGATTGAAGCTTCGCTGAGAAAGGAAAATGGATAAGATTTGAGGAAGAAGACGAAGTCTTCGCCCCTTAGCAGTCGCCAAAATACCATCTTGTTGACCTAGCCTCCTGTGCAAGCTCCGGGGCGGGTGGGAATTTTGATACAGCGTTTTGAAGAGTTTTAAACGCGTCTTTTTAATAGCCGGCCATCCTACAGCCAGCCGCCGAGAGAAGGTTCCATTCCGCCCACGGAATAACGCGTTAAAAACTCTTCAAAACGCTGTATCAAAATTCCCACCCGCCCCGGAGCCTGCACAGGAGGCTAGGTTGACCCCTAGCGCACGGCTACTAATTGCATGCAACCTTGCTTCAGGCAAAACGTGCTCACACTCCCGTCGTATGCAACCATTTTGTACCACATGGTTGCATACAGGAAAAACAAGAAATTTTCAAAGACTCAAGACCAAGACAAGGCATGCCGTGACTTGAGACCAAGTCACCGACCGACTTACTATCGTCGCTATCCGGAACGAGAACCGGAATCTCCCCCGGAAAACGGCCTTCCGTGACGGTGTTGAAGCCTCCCCCTCCCACCACCTCCACGTCAGGCCCCGAGCGGCACAGGCTGAACAGGTCGTCCATTCTACCGGAGCTCGGCCCCTGCACAGCCCGGCAAGGGAGAGGCCGACTCCCCGACCAAGTCACAAACAAGTCAAACGTCTAGCTACACGGTGAAGGTACACAGCATTTTGTACGGCAAAAAATAACTAAAATGCTACTCGTATAGAAGTTTGGACATCGTCAGTGTCCGGCTGATAAAATGACAGGAATGTGGTAAAGCAACTTTCGCCTGGACAGGTCTGATTTACTCCCATTTGATATGAAAATTACACTAAAATGTGTCTAAAAACCCCAGATGTCTGCACCTTGCAAACAAAGGTGTTATATGAAAAATCTCTCTCTATATATATATATGTATTTAATTAGCATATGATACACAGCGTCCCTCCTTTAATTGTCCTCACACAGAAATATTTCTAAAAAGAGAAGAAAATTGCACCCTGCAAGTACAGGTTTACGTACGACGTGAAAAATCTACTCACAACTACCATATGATATCCAGGGGTGTTGCTCTGGCTTGTCATTGCAGTTATCACAACACAACAGCCCATAATTACTTAAAACGGATAGGCAAAGCCTTTAAAAGCCTTCAGGGTTTCGAAATAACAGCTTGCCACAAAGCCTAATAGCCTATCTTTTGTGTCTTGTTGAAAGCACGACGGATAATAATACTGGGAAGGTATGAAGAATAAGTACAGGGTCGTGCTCCGTGCTTTTACTCCAACTACGAATTAACCAATATGTAAATCCAACTTCGAGTTAACAATGTAGACTCACGCAACTTCTCTCACCAAGATATTGTATTCCTACACCGTGAAGTCTTCATAAAACCTTAGTAATTATAGGTTTCTTAACTTATGATCCACGAGGCGTGTCTTTTACAGCTTTCCTATTTTTAAGGCAGTCCATACCAGATATATTTTCATCGAGTGAGCTTGATATTGTAGGATACAGTTTTCCATAGATACACTTTTTGTCAAAGCCAGAATATGGACTCATTTACTGGGAGAAAGAGTACAATTTTACATTACTGTACTGTACGTACGGTACGAAGGATATGAAATAAATCATTACAGTCTCAAAACGTTTTCATTGTTCTTGATATTTGGACTTAATCGATCCTTCATTTGTCATGATCAAGCGAAAGAAACATGTGGCCATACACGGACGCCACCTAGCGGTATTCTCCATTACTCTCTTCCCAAGTATCGCAATTGAATCACATCGTGCATGCCATGTCAAGACTGGCTTCTGTACACAGCCACGCAAACAGTTGTAGTCATGTCACATAACAGACTACATATGTCTGTAAACATGCAACAGAAGATGGTTTGAATTCTCGATTGTGAAAAGGCAATGAATGATCTTGCTTCAGCGATGCGTAAAAATTGCCTAAGGCGAAAACTTAAGTATGGCCAAGGAGGTTCAATACAATACCTCCTTGGTATGACAGTCATTTCCAAAGCGTTTCCTCGATACGGGTCAGAGAGTCTGGAAGCTACTGTGAGCAAGGAGGTTATAGGCATGCTGTGAGCAAAAACCTCATCTATATCCAAGAACGTGCAGCGCATAGAGATCCACTATGTGTTACTCTCCTCTTGAATTCCAACAAACGGATAACCTCACGAAAAAAACACAGCTTCTGAATGCAAAACTGTAGCCTCCATAGCATGCCCAAAAACTGGGGGTTTTGGGGGTCTTCAGGGTCTTTTATGTGCTATTTTCTGATTGCATATAGACAACATAGCCGGCCTGGTTGAATTACCCCCGTTTTTACAACTGGGCTGATAAAAAACAGCCTAAGACCACCAAACAAACCCCCAGTTCTATAAGCCTGCTACGGAGGCTAGCAGGAGGCTGAAGGATATAATCTGACATGCAGCAAAGTGAGCGACCTTCCACACTGGGTTCATTGTCACTCGCCGTGACCACCCCCTATAAACATGGCTTTGAAACATCCTAACAACCGTGTGCTGCATTCTAAACAAGGTTATAGTAGACAAGGTAGGCTCCGACGGGGTAAGGAGGAAAACATTCACACTGTTTTCAGTCTTACACACGAGAGAGATTAGAAATTACAACTATAACACACTCAAAACGTGGTTTAAAGAGAATATCACTAAAGATGTGTGAGTTGAGAGTAAAAATTTGGCTACGGTGTGTTGCTTCTGTCAGGGGGCAGCAACAGCCATGACCCCGTTCATACTAAGAATCGCAAATTCGAATCTGGATTTGTCTAGACGCACGGGGTTGATCCAGATTACCTTAGTACAAACTACGCTTACTGGTACGCTTAGTAGTGTTCGAAAATGGAAATCCCTTTCTCAAAAAGCTAAAAAAAATCCAGAACTAGTTATGCACACAGTGCCACCTTTTACGAGCACATGCAGATATGCATACATACTACTCTTCCTGCTATGTCTAATAGTCCAGGGTCCTTCGAGGATATGGTGATTTTCGCCACAAGGGTGTGTGTTAATCTTTTGTCCGCAGGGCGTAGTCAGACATGTATGTCACACGATGTGGAGAGATTGTGCAGATGGTATCTCTGCGTAGATAATGAGATTTTAAACCTTAAGTGTCTGAACAAATTAGTTTAAAATGGCTTCTGCGTGCACTCTGAAAAAAAAAATGGGAGTGCCACTCAGATCTGAATTCAAAAGCTTGGCAGTTGCTTGTTTATGAACTTCTTCCAAACCTTTCAGAGTTCTTCATACGCCTTCAAATGGGAAATTCCTTGCTTATCTCTGAAATCTACTCACTATTTTAGTATGCATTTTAAGTTAGTAACAGACAAGGAATAAAGAAAAAACGAAGCAACCTTGTCTCAGTCAGCATGATTTATCGGGGACTGACACTAGTGACAGGTGTTTTCGAGGTCTGCAACCTGTTCGCCGCTCCATTCACGTAGCCAGTGGCGTTGTCAATCTTAAAATTTAGCCATTGAAAAAGCTTCATACCTGATACGGGTTTGAGTTCAAAGCTGTTCCCTGGCCGCTGTGGCCTCCGCCCGGTGTTGGTGGACGTGCCCCACCAGTTGAACCCGGAACCTCCGGACGGCTTGTAGTACGAGCCCGAGCCGCCCGCCGAGCTGGTCGCCCTCGGCCCGTTGAAGTGAAACCTCCCGACGGAGGTGGTCGAGCTCGACGTCCTGCCGCCGGGGCGACTCCACGAGGACACGCCGCCGCCGTCGGGGTAGTCGTACCCGTTGGAATAGAGGGTAGAGCCGCCGCCCGTGCTAAACCGACTCCCCGGGCGCCACCCGCTTCTCTCTACCGATGAGTACACGGAAGGCGAGCGGCCGTTGTTCCCGCCATACGCGAAGGAATAGCGCGTGTACCCTCTGTTGTACATCTTGACGTTTCTCTTGAGTCACGGTTTATCGTAGACGCTTTGGTCAAAGCAAGGCGCTTCTTGGTCAAAGGCAGCTGTAGTATGAGGGCTGAACCTATCCCAAGTGTTTGCCAAAGAGTTGGGAACAATAGATCTCAGTCACAGAAGAGCCAGACGTCGCTCCAAACGTGGCGGGAATACTACCGGCAGTACTGGGAAAGTTTGTCCCCCAAGGAGGCCCTTGCTAGTGCCAAGCCCACCGTTCCACTAGTACAACTCGAAGGACGGCATTCTCACAGTGCACGGTCCGTGAAAATTCAGATCAAGGGGATCGCGGAAACGGGTGGGCGGGGCATTCAAGACACGTTTCCCGTGTGGGCGTTGTCCTTGTATGACAATTAAGGTGGTCCCAGACCGACACGGACGATTAGAGATTTCTTTTACCTCGTTTTATACTAAGCCTAAGTGGGCTGGTTACCAATCCTCACATGTGCTGCAGGCTTTGATTAAGGATGTGCTATCGCCCCCGTAAATTTCCGTCTCGTAAACGGTGCTCGCCTTTTCGAACGGTCGTCGCCTTTCCGAACGGTCGTCGCCTTTTCTCAGAACGGTCGTCGCCTTTCCAGTCGTCGCTATTCCCGAGCGACCGAACTTCAATTCCGAATGTCCGCGACATGTTCGTGACTTCCCGGGAGTTCTTGGAAAGTGGGAGCCACACTTCCCCAAGATGGCGACCGTAGACGGGCCAGAACTTGGCTAGGTGGATTGAAGTTGTGGCATGGGTAGTAGTATTATAAATTTGGAGGGAGTACTGGGATTGAATTATCTAGGTTAGAACTAGGTTAGTGTTTGAGCCATTCTCGATTGGAACGGGAAGGGTTTGGGTCACTCTGGACTGGAACTTTTGTAGGTTTTCATAAATTGCTGAAGTTGAAACTGGGGTGAGAAAAACTCCACATTAATTTTTTGGAGCACCCCCTTGTGCTAGCATGCTACTGCATAGACCTCTTCTGACCGGCTAGATCTTTCTAGTCAGCCTATCTATTTGAAACCTGCGAACTATTTGAAACCTGCCTCGTAAAAAACCTCGCAACTCTCCCAGCACCGTAGGAATTGGGGATCCCACAATGGTCTAGCTTCCAGACGAAGTATCCCCCCCCTTAAGGCGTAACAGCAATGTTTGGGGGGGGGGGTCTGTCCTGGTATGCTGCTCTTCCATGAACTAGAACGTCAACCCACTTAACTATTTCCTTTCACCATCATACCCATGACATCGACATAAAAGACAAAAACAGACCACCTGAAATCTAACCCTGATTGACGAAAGGAAGTGGTGGAGGGGACGCAAGTGAACATCTTATAGGCCACAATTTGTTGTTTCTCGGATTTTCTCAGAAAAAAATCAGGAGCGACAGGGCGAAAAAAAGGCAAAGGCACCCCATGATAGCCGGAAATGTTACAATATGAGCCATGAAGTGAACATACCAGACTGGTTTATAATTAAAACAATAGATTTTGAAGTTTTAATGAAACAAAGTTGCATTGTTACATTGAAAAAGTTAAGAACTAGGAAGAAGAGGTCTTTCTTCCACTGTTGGGGCCAAAATATGTCTTTCATTGAGCATTTTGCAGTTACTTTTTTTTGAAAATCAGAAAAAAATGGACAGGGCGATCCGAGAAGCAACAAATTAAATTGGTGTGGCCTTTATATGGTTCACCTCAAGCCCCCCTCGTCCGTATCCTTGCTCCACTGCTGGTGAACGCAAACATTGACTGCGAGGTCGACCAGTACAGAACAAGTCGAGGACAAATACCGGTCCGGTCAATCGCGCGAACTTAGTACACATCGTTCTGCCACATTCCTTCCAGTTGAGACTTTTTTCGCTAATAAATCATAATACAACTTAACAAGCATCACTTCAAGTACCTACATACCAAAAATCACGACAATACGTCAACCGGTTCTTGAGTTATCGTCCTTCAAATTTTTTTCAACAAATGCTCCTGCAGTTCCAGAACAAGGCGCTAGGGGACCCAAACTCATGTCACTTCTTCCCTACCCCAAGAGCTATCTACCAACCAAAATTCGTGACCCTAGCATGTCCAGAACATGAGATATCAAAACCGGAAGTTCTGCTGCAGTACCTAGGAAAGCCGCCAGGGGGCCCAAAATCTAATCATTTCTAGGTCTCATGAAGACCTACCCACCTACTAAGTTTCATTCCAATCCATTCCCTGCTTCTCGAGTTATCTTGCTAAACCACACACAAACACACACACAAACGCTACTGAAAACATAACCTTCTTGGCGAAGGTAATAAGGACGGTTAAAAGCGAGAGTCCGCGTCAAGTGGACTGCCTATTCGCCACCAGACCGTAAAGCATTTGCTTTTTCCCCGAACCACAATCCGATCCAAGGAAATGAAATTCCTTTCGCTATTTTTCATGACCATGAACCTAATTTTTTTTACTCCTAAAATACCAATACATGGCGGTACTGCAGTCTATTGAAATGCTGATCACATCTAAACGCGAAGAAATTATTCTTTGGTAGCTATAGGAGCATCAAAATCGTCATTTTTGTTGCGTTTAGAGCGAATATATAGATACACTGAAAATTTGGTGCAAAACCAGTTTCTCGTAGCAAAGTCAACCTGATGTTTGGTAAAACTTGGTGCCAAGAAGTTGAAGAACCAGAAAATATAGATCACCGAAAACAACACAAAATTTGAGATTTCAACCCCCCTACAGCATAAAATGGAATAGTCCTGTGATACCTCTTGATCGACGAGGCTTTAAGTTTACAAAACGGGCGGCACCGCAAGATGCCTGACCGTTTAATTTACTTTTTCTTCGTATCAGCTCTCAAGCATAACGTCTGGCCTTGTTACGTCTACTCTACTATCCTGTCTGTGGGACTCTGTCCGAATGTAGCACGACGCTCTACATATTTGTTAGCAAAATATTTGCGCATCAAATGTACATTCTGTCGACCTAGATTTCAAGTCGCTGGTTCTTCACTGCAAAACACACTTGTTCCTACGTATTTCCTTAGGAAGTAGGGCTGTTTTCTGTCTTCAATTCACAAAAAAAACAGGAATACAGATACAATACAAAGCTCTGCATGAAGACATTTCATGGCATAGCGGTTGCTCCGTCCGTATTGTAAAGGAAATGCCAACATATCCGGTATTGGTTAGCCTCCATACATAACTGGGGGTTTTGGGGGGGTCTTCAGGGTCTTTGGGAGCTTTTATGTGATATTTTCTGATTGCATATAGACAAAATAGCCGGCCTGGTTGAATTCCCCCCGTTTTTTTCAGAACCGGGCTAATCAGAAAACAGCCGAAGACCACCAAACCCCCAGTTCTATAAGCCTGCTACGGAGGCTAGCATGGGGTCACCTATAGGTAAACTATGTTGGTGAGGGGGCGTGGCAACATCCTTGCGGGGAACGCCCAGTTTGACACCTTGGTGTTTTGAGCCTTTGAAAAGCAAATACTCAGTTTTAAAGGGAATTCTGTGCGCGTACACATGCACTGTTGTTATAAGGGTTCCTTTACCATTTGATGTCACACGTACAGTACCAAGCTTAGCAAGCTACAGGTGCACATTCCCTGCAAATATACCAGAAAGTGGTAGACAAACATGTGGGCGTACATCAAGACCTACTCAAGAAATGCTGTCAGATATCAAAGAAAAGATTAAGAAAACCAACAAGGTCTTTCATATTATATCGTCCAACAGTCACTAGAAATGTCGTTATGTCCACAAGATGTACGATGCATAGGGGGCACCAACCTGCATCCTCGAGGACTGGCCGACCGTGGCTTGGGCGGTCTGGATCCGGGAGAGGACGAGTCCCCGCCCCGGGGCGGACAGGCCAGCGCCCGGTATCCCCAACCGGCCCGAGCGACTCCCACCAGGGCCTGGGGCGGGTGCCGACGTGATGCCACCCCGAGGGACTTCCGTTCGGCCACCCCCATCCCCTCCCCCTGTTGCCTTCGATGATCTCTGCGACGCTGACCGACAGGTGGTGAAACCCTCCGAACCCCCCGTCCCACTCGTCGTCCGAGCCGTCGTCGCGGAAGGGCCAGCCGTGCGGAGCGAACCGGCGGGGGGAGCGCTGACCGTTCCCCGAGGGTGAGGGTAAGGGGCTCCGGGCCCGGCGCCCGCGGATGTAGGTGTTGTGGCTCATGTTGTGGTAGGTATACGTACACCCGGCCAACCGCTCTATATGTACGTTGTATGTGGTGGGCCTCGGCAAACTTTACACAGACTTAATAAATCAGAAAACACGTCAGATATGTGTAAACAGGAACAAAAGAGGCGTAGCTCTGCCTACGGGTTTTTGTCGGTCAGGTAGTGAACGAAGTTTGACGAGCTTCGAACGTCGATGTTTGGAAAAACGTCGTCTGAGAAGCAAACAAGGCGTGAGTTGCTGACTGGATCTCTGGGTCCGCTACTGACGATACCGACAAGCAAACAGGCCTACATGTGGGCCATGTGTACAAGTGCAATCTTTAACGCGCCCGCGTGTCTTAAGCTAAAGGTCGTCTGGCCTTCACGTGGGGGACCACCAAACAACCGAACAAACATGTAGGAATGTCTTGAACAAACATGGCCGAGCTCGCGACACATTCACAAGTTGCACCTTGTCAGAAAATCCTGCATGTCAGCTCTCCCATCTCTCACTGACCACTCAAAGAATCCTTCTAGATCTGTACTGCGTTACACAGCCTCCACCAGGCCTTCCTAACGGTGTTAGGATAGAAGATTTCGGCAAAATATGGTCGGACTGGCCAGGACAGCGGCTCTAGGTCAGGGTTTATTATCCCCCTTTATTGTGCGAGCAAATCTATTTTATTGTGTTATCATGAAAGTTCATCTATTCTATTGTGGCCAATCTCCCGGCGGCAAATGAACTTTGAGACTTTGAGACTTCATTCGATTGTGGCGACTTTCCCGACGTACAGCAATTAAATATGCGTTCACTTAGCCCTCCAAAATTACGCTTGAACTCAAAGCGTTACTTCGAGATTTCAAAATTGCAAATTTATTGGCTGGAATTGTCTAGGATTACTTTATAATGATGATCCCTCGTTGCCGTAGCAGCAACTATAATTTCTAAGCCTTGCTGCCATTTTCACCCTGGTGCCGAGGTATTGTTTGTTAATTTGTGTGTGGGTGAGTGGGTGTGTTTGCTTGTATTTGAATGTGGCCAAACTCCCCTGGTCAATTTAATAAGTATTCTCCGTATTTGGCTGAATTTTACTGTTTTTCAGCCTGTTAGTCTGGTGGAGA